GCCCTTAGGACAAACCGATGCTGGTAATCTTCTGGGCGTCCTCCCGACTGACAACAAGACAGGCCTGGCGCATCAGGAGAGCCACCACAGTCTGAAGCATACTGCATCACACCAAAGTTCGAACTTGCCGCAGGTAGTAGAGGAAGATATGAGTACTATATCGAAGCCCGAACTATCAAGCTCTGTCGCATCGGAGGATGGACCTTTGTCGGCCATTTCACAGCGACCTGCGACTGAAGCTGAGGAGAGCGACGGGTCGAGTCCGCTCCCATCACCAGTACTTGGTGTTCTTTCCAAACGGGGCCATATGGATGCCACTCTCATGCAACAGTCCGGGGAGGTCGATGGTATCTCCGATGTTCCTGCTATGCACCCGCTGCCCGCATCTATGCTTGGATCACCAACCCAGCTTCGTGAATCTATTCTCATTGAAAACACGCCGATAGGACCGATCCTCCCATTCGACACGGACAGCCCGATGGGACATGCTGCTCGGTTTCTGCCAGAGCATCTGGAAACGGGAGCTATTGACAACGTCCTTCTAGACGCTATGATCGCACGCCTCCTTGGTCGTGTTGGACCCTCGAAGAAAAACCTTTGCCTCGACGTGGCCGAGATCCAGTTGATCTGCCACGCCTCGCGCGAGCTGTTCCTCTCGCAACCCGTGCTCCTCGAGCTCAATGCCCCCGTCAAGGTGGTCGGGGACATTCACGGCCAGTACAGCGACCTGCTCCGCATTTTCCAGCTCTGCGGCTTCCCTCCCGCGGCCAATTACCTCTTCCTCGGCGACTATGTAGACCGCGGTAAGCAGAGCCTGGAGAGCATCCTCCTTCTCTTGTGCTACAAGCTGCGCTACCCCACGAACTTCTTCCTCCTGCGAGGCAACCACGAATGTGCCAACGTGACCCGGGTGTACGGGTTCTACGACGAGTGCAAGCGGCGGACGACCATCAAAACCTGGAAGACCTTCATCAATGTGTTCAACTGCATGCCCGTCGCCGCGATCGTCGCCGGAAAGATCTTCTGTGTGCACGGTGGCCTGTCGCCATCCCTATCGGATCTGGAGGACATCCGCCGCATCGCCCGCCCGACGGACGTGCCAGACTATGGTCTTCTGAACGACCTCCTGTGGAGCGACCCCATCGACTCGGAGCAAGACTGGGATACCAATGATGAACGAGGTGTGAGCTATTGTTTCGGCAGGCGAGTGATTGTGGATTTCTTGCAGCGCCATGACTTTGACCTAATTTGCCGAGCCCATATGGTCGTGGAAGATGGGTACGAGTTCTACCCGGATCGGCTTCTGGTGACCGTCTTCTCTGCCCCAAACGTAAGTACTACTCCAATTTGATGGATGATAATCGCTACTTGGGTCGAATGACTCTGCATCCTGCAGCACTTCGAGCTCACTGTTTTATAGTACTGTGGAGAATTCGACAACTGGGGTGGCGTCATGAGTGTATCGGATGAGTTACTTTGCAGCTTCGAGTTGCTGAAGCCTTCGACTCAAAAGAGCACGCCTCGGGACGATAAACGTCTCCAATCACTTGGAGATTAGATGATGGATTACGAGGGGAACAAAAGGTTTCCAAGATTGGTGACTGTTCCCATCGGACTTGAGAACACTGCCCTCATCCTACTTCGATAGTGCGGTGTTGGAGAGTGCTTGAGTTGGATATGTATGGTGAGAAGGAATGTGATAAGATGCTATGCTAACATTCCACCTACTATCAGCTCATAACTGGAATTTATTTTGTTTCAGCTCATATCCAACAATTGGTCGTGTTTCATGCAGAGGCTGATCGCACCGTTGGCTAAAGACTGTGCCTCCAGGTCGAATGTCAGATAATCTATTGGTCGGCAACGGCCATTGGTGAAAGAACGGACAGTAAAGCAGCAATATCGTACCACCTTCGCGGGTCTTACTTTGAATTAGTGAACTACATCTATATACATAAGTTACAGGAATGGTCACTACGTACGACCACAGGGTGTGGAAGATGGGGCTTCCCGCCCGCTCAGCCCTACTCAAGCCACCTGAGCCAGCAATAAATTTGAAAAGTCAAGTCCCTGATTGACGACATGCCGTAGTTTAGACTCGGAGTGAGGTCGCAGTATGTATCCTACTTCTTTTTTCTATTCCTCTAGGATTATATTATACCAGCCTCGGTGTTAAGCTTTTCACTCTCCGACCTTTCTCCGACCCTCTTCACTGTCCTCCGAGACGTCCTCTTTATATAAGAGTCCAACACCGTCACCAGATCTGTTGAGTCTATTTGACATTCGAATCGAAACACGGATTTAAGCCTCTTCGTCATGTCTTTTGAAGAAAAGGACATTCCGGCTGAAGCGACTTCGTCACCGCCTGTGGTGACCATCACCGATCGGCAGCAAGAGCGATTGAACGCCTTGCTCGAAGAACATGGCGTAAGTCAGAAACTTCGATCTATAATCATGCCCTCCCCGGTTCCAATTTTGATCTAACCTCCAACTCATCCCTAGGCTACCTGGGACTCCCCTGACGATCCCCACGATCCCTACAACTGGTCTTCCATACAGAAAGTTTCAGTCGCGCTGATCGTCTCGCTGGGGCAACTCGTCACCCTCATGTCGACTAGTATGATGGCCGCCGCGTTGACTCAAATCGGCGCCGACCTTCACCTGGGCAGTACGGCCACTCATGTCACCTTCTCAATCTTCATCCTGGGTCTCGTCTTTGCTCCGTTTCTAATCGCTGCTCTCTCCGAAATGTACGGGCGGCGACCGGTATGGATTGCCAGTAATCTGTTCTATACCTTGTGGAATGCACTGTGTCCCGTGAGTTCTTCAGTCGGGCTCATGACGGTCGGGCGATTCCTGGCCGGATCAGGCGCCAGTGCAGGTATCACGGTCGGTATTTTGTTATTGTTCCATTCCAGGATGAAGTTGAATGCACTGCCAACTGACGCGGTCTACGTCATACAGCTCACGGGTCCTATCCTGGCGGACATGTATCGGCCGGAACATCGAGGACGCTCCCTCGCGCTGGCCACCTTTATCCCCTATCTGGGTCCGGCCCTGGGTCCCATCATTGGCGGAGTAATCTCTCAGCATCTGCCGTGGGGCTGGCTATTCTGGATCCTCTCCATATTCGACGCCGTGATTGTACTGATCGGCATCTTCTTTCTACCGGAATGCTACACCCGAAGTCTACTTCGGAAGAAGGCCGCCCTTCACCGCTATCGTCAGAATGCCACCACTGCTCCTCTCTCCTCCTTCAGCAAACACTCTCTCACGCTCCTACTCGACAAAGCCTTCTATCAAGACCTCAGCGCCCGGCTAGGCGTCCACCTCATTCGACCACTAGGTCTCCTCATCTACCGCCCAGCGATCCAGGTCATCGCGCTGATCATGGCGCTGAACTTCGCCATCTACTGCCTCCTGCTGTCCACCTACGCGACCCTCTGGATGGAGCGGTACGGCGAGTCCGCGACAATCAGCAGCCTGAACTACATCGCCATCGCGATCGGCACCATCACCGCCTCGCAGGCGGGCGGCCACCTGATGGACCGGATCTACCGAGCCCTAAAGGCGCGCAACCACGACAGCGCACCCACCCCAGAATTCCGGGTCCCGTTCCTGGTCCCCGGCATCCTGCTGATTCCCGTAGGTATTTTTCTGTACGGCTGGTCGGCGGAGGGACGCCTGCATTGGGTCGTCGTTGATGTCGGCACCGCCATCTTCGTCACGGGCAGCTTCATTCTGTCCCAGGGCATGCTAGCCTACCTGCTGGACGAGTTCACCACGCACGCCGCCTCGGCCAACGCCGCCGCGCGCATGTTGTCCAACATACTCGGCTTCGTCTTCCCCATCTTCGCCCCGGATCTGTATGCCGCCCTCGGGTACGGGTGGGGGAACAGCCTGCTGGGATTTATCTTTGTTGCGGTGTGTTGGCCTATTCCTGTGATACTGTGGGTCTACGGATCGCGCTTACGAGCTATTGGGCGGACGTGAAAGTCGTAGAGTCGGTACTTTTGGGTCTTGTCATCTTGTGCAGCTGCATGATTTCCGAAAACATTGGGGAATCGGGGGAGTGAGTGCTCGGTCTAGATCGGATTTAGATTCCTGCCGGTAGCCCCCGAGCTCCGAGCTCGGGACTTCGGTCTTTAGAGCTGCATAGTAGAACATGAAATTTTTTTTTCTTCTTCGCAACCGCCACCGGAAGGGAAAAGCGGTATCTCGGGGGTATACTCTTTTATAGCCTAATCCTTTACTCTCCAAGTATCTCTCAGCTTCAGAGCTGCTGCCTCGCTGCTTGGGGCGGAGCTTGAAATGAGCCCATCCTTACCTTGAATTCCGGTTAGCGGACGCATGCGGAGAGGTACGTACGACCACGAGGTTAAGGACTGTGTGCTAGTCTGTACCCGGAAGACGGTGTCTAGAGAGCAGCTGAGATCTAGAATCCTCTATGTAATCAAAGGCAGGCTTGCCACAAGGTTCGAGGTATTGTGGTCTGGTCATATCTCTATAACATTGGCAGTAGTATCACCCATTAGACATATATCTGGACAGGCACAAGGAATGGAGGCCATGGGAACAGGGGGGAAGGCTACTCTCCCTTCCGATAGCAAGATAAGCCAGCACAGCACAAAGCACTAGTGCTACTGGGATGGGATAGTCATTAGGTCTATTGCGAATAGATAATCCTGCACCGCCAACAAGAAAAAGACCCGGATAAAAGCAAAAGTGTCACGCAGGACAGAGCCATCCTACAGTAAGACGCCGTGGTAAGAAGCTCTCCAAGCTAGATGAGGCTGGATAGTCACTTATTCTTCCTTCCCGATAGTAATCGTGTTCGAAGTAGATGCATACCTTATCCCTCACATCGCCACCTCTCAGGTTCAAAGTCTGCGACCGCCGGCTTCAACTTCTGGCCAACTGCAACCTTGGGAGGAGCAGGAGGGGTAAGCAGCTGCGCCTACTAGATACTATAGCGATAATCCGGGAAGGCAGCTCGACACGTGATATTCTATGGCACAACGAAGTACAGTACAATATAACTACCCGGAAATCCAGCCAAGGGCATCGACGGTGGTAGTGCCAGTTCTTGACCGATTGCCCAAACCCGACCAAATCAATAGCCGAACAAGGCCTTGCACCCTTCTAGAAACTTCTGCCAGTTGGACTTCGGAGGCGAGTAAGGAAGTGACAGTTGGACCAGATAGTACAACAGGGCGGGAGGCCGCAAGTCACACATAGAATGACGGCGAGCATTTCCGTAACGGTTAGTCTGGTGTATACCGGTGATCTTGCCCCAGAAGCCGAAGGCAACGGTATCCGGCTGCTGAGGCTTGCTGGCAATCTTCGATCCATACTCCACGACGACACGGCTCTAATTTGAAATGGGGATTTCAGTCCCTCACAGTTTAGGGTAAAAGGCGTGCGTGGTGGGGAACTCTAACTTACTCGCCTGGCTCGCGTACCTTTTCCGGCGGCTTTGAGAAACCTGAATTCGAGCCAGCCTCTCCAAACCAATTCGCCCCAATCCGTGGTCTTCAGAGGCGACCTTTTGCCGTTCTTGAGCAGCAGCTTGATACGGTTGATCTGCGTTTCGGACACGAGATATATCGTTCGAACCTTCAGGTGCCGCCAGTCAACCTCGCTGTCGGGCTGATACCGGGTTGGAGGGAGGGAAATAGACCTCACAAGCCCTACGGCTGCCCTTGGAGAAGTAATCTTCGGACTGGGTCGCCAGCGTCATCGGGCCCAAATGCACCCCTTGAGCTGCCAGGAATTCGAGCATCGCCATCGTCGCCCCCGCCTCGTTGTCGGGGTATCTGCTAAACACCGCTTTCAATCGGCCGAACATTGTGGTGAACTCAAGTTCCAATCCGCGATGGGAATGGAAGGAGAAAGAGAATTCTTTGGAAGGAGAGGGGGTTTATTATATTCGGTGACGGGGAATACGAGAGAACATATGCCCTGTTTGCATGATGTCTCATGAGTTGACAGCTCCTCTCCGTTCCCGACTGATGACCCCTAGAAGTGGGGGGGGGGCGCGGGGGGCTTGAGCATTTCCATTTCTCGCTACAGAAAGCGTGAATCTCCTTCGGGGATAGCCAGTCCTTCGCGCTTGGTACAAGGGGAGCAAGAATAGATTGTTGACGCCTCTGAAAGAGGTGGAAGATGGATTGATTCTTCTACGTGAGGCTATCTGGGAGAACTAGCTCAGGCCAGCGAGGTGGGCGGTGAGCAAGCAACCCTCAGGCACCAAGGCCCGGCAGCCCAGGGCCGCCGTCAGAGATATCAACGCCAAGCACTTCACCAGCCTGGTAACCAAACGCCTTACACCATGTGGTTCGATTGCTCAAAATACTACTACAGTGGGCTGGGGTGGCTTACTCGTGCCAATTTGCAATAATGCCAAAGGTAGCCTGCCGCAGGAACGCCGAAACAACTCAGAAACAAGCAGTCCCTTTAGTTTTCTGTGACTACTATGTCCTACTGCAAAGATTCAAAATAAAATGATATGTACATATATATATATTTCTTTTTCTAAATATAGGTAAGGTATAAAGGTAACCTACATCAATTGACAAGTCCAGCCGGACTCCTCAAGAGCCACGCTTGGGGGTTTCCCCTCTTCCATGTTCCTGAGGCACTTCTCAATGTCTCTCGGCGAGACACCCTTCGCTTCCCGGGGAGTCATCAGGGGTTCACCCAGTAGGCCCGACTTTTTCCAATGTCGGTGAAGAGCCGCGAACCGAACGCAGATGGCCGCCTCATTATTGTCCCATATCTGGTGCAGCCCAAGCCAGTCCCGGATCGGCCCATCCTGTACGTCCTCGAGCTCGACATCGATCGCGGCCAGCGCTAGGTTCGCACTCGGCAAGAGCGGACTGAACGACAACATACATTTCAGCTCGGCTTGCCACCCGTTGCAGACGAGGTACCCAATGTCGCGGACCATCAGGTAGACCAGATTCTCCATATACCGCGCCGGGTGGAGGATTTTGACCGGGTAGGACTTCTTATTCCGCCGGCCCCGGCAGTTCGGCATCACCCGGCCGCCCCACAACGATGGCCTGTAGAGCCGCGCATCGGAAGTGGCCATGTAAAAGGGGTCCTCGGGCGGCAAAGGCCCAGCGAGGGGCATGATCAAGCCCGAGACCAGCATCTACGACATGCAATAGAGAAAGACGCCGCGAGTCTGGTTGCGATCCTTACGGTCCGCTGGGTAGCGATCGTCGGTGTGGAAGTAATGGGCCGGGATGGGCCAGCTGTGAGTGGCGCCCCCGGTCAACGCATGACAGCGGATGCGGGATTTGGTATTGGTGGGGTTGGCGGCGAACTGGTCCAAATCCTTGCAGGCGGGGGTACTGGGCGTCACGGAGCACCTGGGCCGCCTGGTCGATTTGCTCATCCGGAATGATGAACGCGGTGAAGTGAGGGATGAGGGGCACGCCCATGATCGAAAGCGCGGCCTCTCCACCGAGCACATTGCCGATGCCTTTGCCATCCAGGAGAGACGCCACATCGTCCACCAGATCCTCGCCATCCCGTGGGGATTCCGGCGTGAATGGTGGGCAGGGTGGGCTCTCGTCACGATCATCGAAGTCAGAGTCATCCTCGGACTCACTGGACGTGCAAAGAACATCTTCCTCGTAAATACCAGTCCCAGGGTCATCATCTGACTCACCGGATGTGCTATGCACTTCTACATCAAAAACTTGCACACATGCCCGCGCGGACATCTCGCCGTAACAGTAGTCTGCCATGATGTTCTGATTGATGATCAATGCGAAGCAACTTGACGCTGGAAGGCTGTACTCGGATCGAGCAGGGAGGGCCGGCCGAGGGAGTTTATATATACACGGAACCCTGACCCAGTTCTCTTTGTCGTGGTGGATCTTTTGTTCACCAGCGTGTAAGGGCTTTCTTTGACAGAGGAATCTGTCGTTGTTGTAGTTTTGCAAGACACCTTGTGTATAAGCCATAGAATGCACCGAATCTAATGGGTTCTTTGGGGGTTCAATGGATGGGCGGGGAAAGCGGCAACTAGGGCTGTCTCTCCGGTCTCGTGAGGGCAGGAGATATCGTCTTGTCCGTTTTAGATATGTGTACACCTGCCACAGAGAGTTACCACTCCAATCTTAAGGTCACCGTGGTAGACTGAACCCAAGCGCCCATCCGCTACGACCGGTGGGTCTGGCAGACAGCTGCCAGAGGCGAGGGAAACCAGTCGGGAACTCCCGCAGGGGATTCGCTCATATGTGTAAAGCTACAAAGCTCACGACAAAGGAGTGAGACCATTGTCCCACCGGCAGCATGGCCAACAAAGACTGCCGCCATTGTGATCATTGGTGCAGGAGGGCTATGGCAACACTGGAGTGGTGGGCTGCAACATGTCGCCTGTTGTTGTCGACACTAGCACCGCTATTCTTATTACAGACAGCTTTATACTGTTTTCATATTATACTAGCTTATCTACTGGATAAGTCTAGTAGGCAAACTACCCCAACTAATTACTTAGTACTAGATACACACATTCTCTATCTCCTTAACGCTATTTCTTTTATCTGTGTTCTAGATCTGAATACTACTTCGAACTATAGATAGAAGAATAGTTTACGAAGAAAGTGGGTTTCTCAATTCCGCGTCTATGGGATGTGCTGCTCGGGGCCGTCGAAACGACCGTTCGACTCCATTCACGGCATTATGGATGATGACCGTGGCGATTTGTAGTTTGAAGACCATCTAAAGCTCTTTTCGACCTTCTCCCTAAGCCCCTGGCACAGAGGAAGCAATGGCAGAAAGATCTCAGAATTGGATTTTGGCATGTTGTGGAAAGCGTCTAGCCAGCTATCTACAGAGAGAGTAGCGACCCATGGCAAGAGAACGTGAAGCTCCCGATTCGTGACGCAACGAGTGGCCGCCGCATTGTCGTGCCTCCATACAGGACGGTGGTTTGATCATGTTGCCGCCGCCATGTTTGTTCAAGCGGACGATGGAGTTAAAAGGGATATGATGATTGAATGAATGACTGAATGAAGGGACGGCAAACGAGTTTGCCGGCCTGCGGAGATGATAATGATCGGGAGATCGGGATGGTGAGTAGGAATTGTGGCTATGAGAGAATTACTCACAACAGGGTTGAACATTTTGATATGCGGGGCGGAACAAGATCTGATTCTAGGGCCGCTGGAAGTACAGAATTCGGTGCCATACGTTGGACCACTAAGAGCCTTTCTTGCCCGTGTCAGTTGTTTTCAAAAAGAAAGAAAAAACCAAGAAAAAAAAGCTCCTTCAATTTATCTGAATTGATGTACTCTAAGTCTTTCTATCTGCTCTTTTCCTTGGCTGGAAATTCTCCGCTGGCCGAAAATAGGCCCGAAGATTGACGAGTCGATCGTTATGCTGAGAACATACTTTTTGATCATCATATAACAGCAAGGCGTTAGACCAACCACATACGACCACAGGGTGTGGAAAATAGGGCTTCCCGTCCGCTCAGCCGTACTCAAGCCACACGCCGGGAGGTTAGTAGTTGGGTGGGTGACCACCAGCGAATCCCTTCTGTTGCATGTTTTTGTTGGATTTTGTTTTGATGCTTTTGATTTCAATGCAAACTGACTGGTGACTGAGGTGCAAGTGCAGATTATGCCACCGGAGGATCTCGGATTCGTACTTCCGGACCATAGACCGTCATCTTCAGCCCGTATTCCCCCACTCTCCCATCAAGCCAACTCTAAACCCGTTGCAATGAGCCAATCCACCCCTGAGAGGGCCCAGGGCAGGGGGGCCCAGGGCCCAGGGCCCAAGAGGTGTGCTTTGCATTATCCCGATCCAGCAATAAGATCACTCTAACAACTTTTAGAGCCCTTAATCAATTCCCAATCTCCCATAATGCAACCAACATGTTGATCGCGTGCGATGGGATCCCGGTCTAGCACGGATCGGGCAAGCGATCAGCGATCTTCGACTCAGGGATCCAGCCGATCTCTCGCTCCGCAGTTCAGCTGTGTGCCACTGTGCGTCTAACAGGAAGCGATTGACATCTTCGGGTCGTTAGCTTCGTGAAAGAGGGATCCGATTGCCCTAGGCGAAGTTCCCTTCGCATGGGCCGCTAATTGCCTTGGGTAGTGGGCAATAATCCCGGAGGAAAAATTCAAATAGGAGGCCAGTCCCCCCTCCCCTTGCTGCTAAAGCGTCCATTCAGTCCTGCAACGCCAAAAACACTGCTGCTTCAAAGACCAAGGCAAAAAGAAAATGCTGCACCAAGCTCTCAAGCCGCTCGTGGTCGCCGCGCTGGGGCTGAGTGCCCTCCTCCCCACGGCGCTGGCGCAGCAGCAGTCGGCCAACGCCAACACGCTGGTGAGCCGGCGACTGACGGAGTACCAGCTGCCGGTGGCCACGGAGACACACGAGTTCGCCCGGGTGCCGAACACGAACTTCGTGCTGCTATCGCAGATGTCGGACAGCGAGCTGGTCAAGATCGAGCTCGACCCCACCACGGAGGAGCCGATCGCGTGGCAGACGTTCCCCATGGGGCGCAACCGCAGCTCTCAGCTGCACGGGGTGTGGCCGTCGACGCTGTACCCGGGGCTGATGTGGCTGACGCTGCAGGCGGAGAACAAGCTGCTGCTCGTGGACCCCGGCCGCACGCTGGCGGCGAAGCCCGTGGTGGTGCGCACGATCGACATCCCCGTCCCCGGCAACGGGCCGCACTGCGTCTTCGAGATCGGGAACCGCGTCTGGGCCGGGCTGAAGGTCGCCTCGCCGCAGACGGGCCGGTACTACGTCTTCTCGGCGGACGTCTCCCACCTGAACGCCACCACCACCACCATCGCCCGGTCCGGGGGCTCCCACTCGACGGCCGCCGTCCCCGCCAGAGACCCGAAGCTGTACCCCTGCCTCAACAGCCCCGTCTTCATCAAGGAGGAGCCCACGACCGGCCTGATCTACGTGACCCAGGACACCGACTCGGCCATCCTGCGCATCAACGCCACCAGCGGCGAGACGGCGCAGCTGCCCATCCCGCCGAGCGTGGGCAACAACGCCGTCGGCATGATCTCCGTCCCCGCCGCGGGGCCCCTGCGCGGCGGCGTCTGGTTCACGCTGGCCGGCAACGCCACCGGCGGCACGGGCACCTTCGGCCACATCGGCGCCGACGGCGAGATGGCCTTCTTCCGGCTGCGCCACCCCTTGCTCGGCGCCAACGCGGGCCTCCTGCACCTCGCCGACGCGTCCACCCCCGCCGGCGGCCCCGCCCTCTGGCTGCTGTCCACCTCCCTGCTGAGCAGCAACTCCCCCGACGCCCTGATCCGCGTCACCTTCGACGCCAACCTCACCGCCGTCGCCGACGAGGAGTACGTCTCCATGCTCACCCAGAACGCCATGGTCCACCGCGTCCTGCCCCTCGACCGCACCGTCCTCGTCTCCGAGCTCCACACCTTCACCCTCGCCCAGCTCGCCTACAACCATACCGTCGCCGGCCAGTGGCTGCCCGCCGAGGCCGTCACCAACACCACCGTCTACACCCAGGCCGGTTAGAGAGGGGGGGGGGGGTGGTTTCCTCGCTGAGGGCCGTTGACTGCTGGAGGAGCCGATGAACATGCCTGCCTCCGAAGACATTATAGATATACATACTCTTGGTTTCTAATCTTAATCTAATATGATACACTCCTTTGGTTACAATATTCTGCTCGTTGGATGATGGACAAGTTGGCGATGAACCTGGCGGCTGGGTGCTCAAACAAGCACCTTTTGATTTTCTGGTATCATGCGCTGAATGCTGATTGTAGAGCTGGCCCCTGCTCTTTCTTCTTGATCTTGTCTTCCGTTCTTATGGGATTGAGATTGACGAGTGCATTTGTACATACCGATGGTGAGAGGCAGTGGAGCCAATCGACACCGTTGCATGCAGACTCCACTTCGATCGGCATGTGAGGGCTTCACCTATTCCTTGCAACACGAAAAATAGAGGGCATTATTAGAGGATGGGAGGTGAGGATACGGCAGGTAGATGAACTATTGCTTGTCAACCAAGAGTTCCATTCATGGCGAGAAAATAAAGGAGGCCGGCTCGCGCGGCCTTCGCTCTGCGCTATGTACAACATAGATAGTGCCACGGGTGCCCGAGGCATTTATTGGCCGATGTGTCTGACAGGCCGCCTAGGCGCCTGTCATTGGAGCCCTAGTGCTGAAGCAGTGACTGGTGATGATAGTCAAAGCGAACCAGCCCTCGACAGTAGATGCGAGAGCCCGTGGGACCTCGGGCACGAGGCAGATAAGACGAATCCCCACCATTCTAACTTAACCCCAATGACACACCCCTCACATCAAACCCTGCCCCTCGAGTCCGAATCCAATATCCCACGCACTCTCGTTCAGCAAGTCCAAATGCTCCGCCAGACTCAATATCTGTGTAGGGCTCATGGTAATCTCCTCATCCGCCATCATGAACTCCGACTCCGCCGCGGGATCCGTCTGCTCAGGAAGGCTCACCATGCGGGAGACACTTTCCCTTCCATCATCATGATCACTACTCTCCCCGCTCACGACATGTCCGGTCATCTTCTGCAGCAAATCCAATTCCTTCTGCCGCAGCGCGGCGGTCATGTTGCCCTTGGCAACGATGTCGGACAGCATGCGCGAAGCGGTGAGCACGTAGTTGGCCATATCCGGCACCAGAGCAGGGTCGATGAAGTGGGCGATGGTGAGGATGAATGCGGAAGAGAAGATCCCTTCCAGGTCGAAAGGAAGGAACGATTCTATGCTTTCTTTGAGTTTCATACAGCCTACAGAAAAAAGAAAAGAAAATGGCAGACGTACCGAGAAGTGACTGCTCGTACAATACAGACAAAGTTCTCAATGAGATCTTGGCCGACTGCAGAGAGGTTTCGAGAAGCGGTCTCAGCTGGACGGGGATCACTGTCTCGCCGCGCTGATCCTGTGGTTGGAGCCGGTTGATGAGAAAGTGAAGGAACAGCGGACGCGTGGCCAGAATAATACACTGTAACAACCGTCAGTCCACCTGTGATGTATCAGTCAAACTTGACCTACCTGGTGGTATTTTACTGTCAGATGGCTCGTCATAGTCGATACTGTTCGCAGGGAATGGTGCGAGACTTTGGCGGCCATCTCCTCCGTCTCCCGCAGAATATCGGCCATCTCGCGCAGCACAGACTGAATCGTGGAGATGAATGACTGTCGCAATCGAAAATCGGTGGTGTATACGGCTAGGAGCACCATATTAGATAGAGCCGCACACCTCGAATGCTGGACTCACAATTCAACACGCGGCCGATCGTGCGGGAAAGCTTGACATGCATGGTGAAGAACAGAGCATCCTCCGAATGATCGTAAGCGACGGGGAGCGCACAAGTGATTTCCGCATCTTGGATCGATACTGGACCGCCTATCATCGATGATAGCTGCCGGTCAAGAATATATGCGGACCACCAGATGTTACGGCACTGATGCGCGATACCAGTCCCAAAAAGTCCGTCTGGTGGCTCCCGGTATATCCCCTCCATGATACACATCCGGATCGCCTGGCCGACCTGCGATTGCGGTCAGCCATTGGTCAATATCTTCATCAAGGTCTCCCACATAAACATAAGCAGCATCTTTCATGTCCACCGACACCAGATACAGACCTATCAGGTACAGAATCTGCATGCCACGATTTGGCTGACGATTCAGGCCTATAAAATCCGGTACTAGAGACATAGCCCGTGTGAAGAAAGCTGATCCTGGCGGTAATTTGGGATTCCTGGGTGTGGTCAAGAAAGCCTTGGCGAGAGCGATAATCAGGAGGTATTGAATGAACCATAGGGGCTGAGTTTTGGCCTTCTCGAGCCCTCGATCGTAGAACTCGTGGAGATGAGGTATGAACTCGTCTTCGTCGACGAGATATAGCATCCGAGAGGAATGGAACTTGACGGTGTTGAGCAAATAGAGAAAGTCATCCAGCGACGGCAGCCCCTCCACAACAGAAGCATCTTCAAAATCAGTCCGGGACCAGCTAAGTTCCCAGGTACAGCCATCGATGTGAAAAGGAAGATCTGGGCACGGGTAGTCGGGAACCGCGGATTTGAGGAGCAGGAAGACGCGCTGGGAGAAGGACCAGGAGGAGGACGGCCCACAATATCCTGAAGATTCAGCTAAGTCCATGGAAGTCATCTCAAACCTGGAGCTTACTATATCGTCCGGTTGTATCCTTCAGGTAGAAGGATGTGGCAGAGACAAGAGGGTTGGTGATGAGTGCCTCGGCGGTGCTGGTCTGGGGAAGTGGGGACGCGTCTAAGATCAATCAATGGGTGTGCCCTGATGCAACTTATGACATCTCTACGATTACCGTCTGCGACAGAAGGTAACGGAGGGCTACTCCGGGACACTCTTTCTTCGGACAATTCCTTGGTCGGTGGCGCTGACTGGGGGCGGCGCAGGGCACAGTTGTCCTCGAGCGCACGCAAATAACTAAAAGCGCGGTCAGTGTCGTCTCATGAGTCGCCAAAGAGATAAGGGTACCTTTCTGATACTAAAACCTTTCTCTCGGGTCTTTTGAATGTGCAATCAACATGACGTGCGACACAAGATTGACAAGGGAACCGGCCGGAGCATTTGGTCTTCCGTTTTTTACATTCTTCGCAGCTAGCCTGAGTCAGCAGATATTGTCCACGCGGAGAAGCTGATTGATGAGATTATACGCATTTGACACCTTGTCCAATCGTGACTTTCGTCGGAAAGGTGGCATTCTCGATCGTAACCCGCGATGAATGCATCAAATTGGTGGAAAAGTGAGTCACTGAAGCAAGGATGGTTTTCTCGGAGGCCTCTTCCGAAGCAGACACCGCCCGGAGCCCAGGTGGCGGTTGCCATCAACGGCCTCGGACGGGGGTTCCGGTGGGACATGAACTGGCAGCTATACAGCGGACATTTCAATAGTCTAATTGACATGTACACCGGTGAGACAAATATGCTGGGCAAGCCAATCTATATTGTATGGGGATATCCCTAATAAATTTTTCTTAGATATATACAAGAATAAGAATCAAGCTGATCTCCTCCCATTCCCTCGGCTCTTGCTAGCCTTTCAGATAATCGACCATTCCGGAGCTACCGCACGATCGCTATTCAGTTGGAGGAGGCGACACACTGGTAGTAGTAGTCGTTCTGCTTCACGCAGGTGTAGGGGCTGGCGCACTCAGTGGGTCCGGTCCAGTTAAGTCCACCGCACTGGTAGTACTCATTGACCTGGCCAGCAGCGTTGGTAGCCAGGGCACCCTGGGGATCGCTGACACCAGCGCTGCCGCTGGCAGCAACCACACTGGAGGTGATGGGGCTAGGAATGACGGCAGGGGTGGTGGCGGCAACAGCAACAGCGGTGGTGGTAGGCTGCTTGACAACAACAGCGGTGTAGGTAGGCTGGCTGGCAGCAACGGCACTGGTGGTGGGCTGGGTGGCAACAACAGCGGAGGTAGTGGGTTGGGTGGCAACAACAGCACTGGTGGCAGCCGCGGAAGCAGCGCTGCTGGTGCTGTGCAGCTTGCAGGGGGACTTAGACTTGGTGGAGGTGGCAAAGGTGGTAGCGGAAGAGCTGCTGCTGGGAGCGGCGGCAACGACGGAGATGGCGGAAGTGGTCGAGACCTGAGGGTGGGGAGCAGCGGTGGTGGTCTGCTGAACAGCAGAGACAGCGGAGGTGGCCGCGGAGGTGGCTGCGGAGGTGGCGGCAGCGACAGAGGTAGCAGCGGAGCTGGAAGCAGAGGTGGTAGAGTCACCATCAGGGAAGTACTTCTCCAGGATGGGAAGGTAAGTCGAGTAAGCCGGGCCATCGGAGGGCTGCAGGCTGTACATGTAGGATCCCCACCAGGGACCGGCAGACCACCAAGAGGCACCGACCCAGACATCGCTGTTCTCGGACATGTAGGAAAGCATGCCCTCAACAGCTTCCTCACAGACGGAGTTGACACCACCGGCGAATTCTCCGATAACACCCTTCTTGTTGTTGGTCTGAAGCCACTCGGTGGCACTCTCGAGACGCTCCTTACCGATGGTGGAGCTGACGCAAGTCTCCGAGGTACCAGAGGCATCGGAGTCGAGGTACTGGTGCATCTCGTAGATGATCTTGTCCTCGGTATCGGTCAGGCCGGAGAGGTTATCGTTGTTCTCGGTCCAGGTCCAGGCACCAGAGTAGCTGTTACCCTCAACAAAGATGTACTGAGTCGTGGCGCCGGCGGCACGGATACCGTCAATGGCGGCCTGGTTGAGGCTCAGGACCAAGGACTGCTCCATATCATGGTACTCGTTGTCTGATCGATTAGTCTCATGCTTCATCAGCAGGCACTATGCAACTCACTGGTATCAAAGATGACCTTGTCGTTGTCAGCGAACTCAGCGGCAACGTTCTTCCACCAGGTCTGGAAATCAGAGGTGGAAGTGATGATGTTTCCGTTGCTAGTAGACTATTAGCCACGTATAGCACAGAATGCCGGCTTGCTTACTATCTTCCATAGTTGTGGGGATCGAGGACGGCGTAAGCTCCGCTGTCAGTGACGAATTGGACGGTCTGTTCTTGTCAGAATAATTCAATGGATATGGTCATGTGGCTCATACCGATTTGAGGTCGCTAAGGTAGGCAGAAGCAAAAGAGCCGGTGATGCTGTCGGGAGTAAGACGCTCCATCAGGAAGGGAATACGGAACATGTTCATGCCCGCATCTCTCAGGATCTGGATCTGGCTGGTCGTAGGCCAGGTGTAGGTGGTTCCCAGAGTACCAACGCCGGAACCAAACTCAGCACCAGACTCGCTAACACCGAAGACTGCATCGGTCAGCATTGCTATTCTCCATCCCCACAAGGCATGACCTACAGGTGAAACCAGAGGAAGCACGCTTCTTCATCTCACGCTTAGGGAGAGCGTTGACCATGCCGGCAGCAGAGGCCGCAATAACCAAGTTGCTGATTCTCATTTTGAAAAGAATGTATATCGATCTGGTCGATTAAAAGAGTGACTGATGAAAAAGAATGAATGAATGCGAGAGTAAAGAAGGAACGTCAAGAGCCAGTCTTGATTGTGATGTGCCAAGCAGCAAAGACGAACGGCCGGGGGCTCTCCTTCTTATACCACTCGATCGTCCAGGCACACAAGCTAGTCGGAAGATTCCCTGGCAATTCAACGGTTCCACTGCTTAATCTCGGAGGCAGAATTGGGCGCATCCCCCTGAGACCGCCACTGAAGGAATCGGGACCCATGCACCCGGGTGGATATGTTAAAGTCGAGAACCTTTCGCCCCAAATCCATCTGCCCCGATATGAGCAGGCTCCAGGCCGACGCCGAAGCTAGCAAGGACCCTTAATATCACTTACATGTGATATCTGGGCGCTTCGCCAGCGACTCTGACCACGACTTTCGCGCCTCGAAAAGAAGAGATCCCAGCTGGAAACAAAAAATAATCCCGCATCCCAGACATCAACTCCGGCATTGTTGCGACATCCCCTCAATTCTCCTTCATGGAACGTTCGAGTTCAGTGGGGATGGTGGCCAGCACCGTTGTCGCAGCTCAAGGCTTAGCACAATAGGGAAAAACAAGTGTCCCCATCATGATCACCCTTTTCGGAGGCGTGCACTGGCCCCAAGCCGTCGTCCTTCATTTCTCCAGGTCAAATTGCCGTTTGGCGGCGTGGGGCCACACCATGCAATTGCTAGGGAATCTGATCTAGATGAAACAGCATCGCGTCCCAAGCCTGCCGTTCGTTGGTGGAGCGCTCGGCGATGTGATTCGATTAATTAAATAATTCCGGGCCGAGGACGCACACAAACGGCGAGGTGCTGGCTGTGAAGAGGGCGGTTGATTTCATTCACTTCAGCTTAGAGCAAGATTTGGTCGTCTTGCTTTTCCCCGACTCGCCCGGCTGTTCCTCCCAATTAATTAATGGACCGGTCCGATATTATTTCACCTGAGACATTCACCCTTTGCGACCCACCGTAACCGTCCACCGACTTCCAGGCTTCGCAGTGCTCATTTCTAGACGACCGACCTGTCATATTGGTGGACGTCTTCACCAGGATGATCAATAATCAATCATTGAGTAGGAAGATTTTTTTTCTCTCAATCGAAGATGAGACGGGGCGAGGATGAATGACGATGGCACGTAATTTTGTTTAAGTGGTTCCGATTTGTTTGTGGTTGTGGAGATTTGAGAGGGGACGGAGCGACGGAGCGACGGATTACGGGGGGGAAATTCTGGCAGGGAACGTTTGTTGCTTGTTTGTCTCTCCTGACAGGCACGTGCCGAAATTACACCAGAGTGGGAGACTCGCCTCCATCTCATCGCAATCTACTGTAACTAACTACTGTACTGTACATCAGCCAAATGTTCATCATGCGTTCACTCGGATACTCGGGTGGCGCTTCTAGTCGCACTGAGTGATGTCTCGAATAGACTGCCAGCTGGTGCCTAGTTCATGCCCACTTCGCTTATCCAGTAGCTTGCAATCAGTTGCTATTTTGGCATTCTCGATATTAAACCATTATACTATTTACAAAGCCACACCCATTGAGAGTCGGAGTAAAGACCCATGTGCAGGCAAGTGCATTGCAATTTACCAAAGACCCCAGTCCGCAGTCCCCTTTTCTCATCGTTGGCCGACATGGAATTCAAACGATCGATCACCTTGACCGACCGGGATGGCAGTGGCATCATTGTCATAAAGCGTACGCTCAAAATAGCGCACTCGTCCGTCTGTACTCACCAAGACTACTGTTTGCTGCTGTGTCCCATATGCCCCCTGCAGGAAGGAGTGGTCTAGAGCATCATGTTGCCCGGAAGAAGCATCCTCCGCCGTTTTGCTCTCAACGCAGACTGCAGGCACCTCGTCTTTGCGTTTAACAGACTTCTCGCGAGCTCCCAATACTGGGATAAATATGCTTTGCCTGAAGTACGGGAGGTAGTCTTCCGCGGTGGCATCCTCGGCAAGCTTAGGTAGCGTATTGATACTCAGCATATCGAGCAATCTGTTGACGAGTGCATCCTCGTCCTCCCCCGCCTGCGCGTGCTCAGCAATGGCTTCCTTCATCAGTCTCTCGCCCTCAAGGATTTTGGGCCAAGATCGGTCGTCAAAAACTGTATTGCTGAGGCCGAGTGTCTGACCTTTCTCTGTTGCAACCCAGG